ATCAGCGCACAGCAGAGGACAATCAGCGGTGTCGGGCTGATGGGCGCGGAAAGCAGCACGCCCTTTTGACATTGAACCCGTCAGGGTGTCGGCGGCAGCTTGTTAACCGCAATACCCTGTGCCGCCGTCTCCCCGCCCGGCTCTTCACAGCAGCGGCCCCGTCGGTGGTGCCTGGGACAGCACCGTAATAGAAACGCCTCGAGAACACACCATAAAAGCTCTCAAAAGCTGTGCACTCACCTCACACGGCAGGTTAGAAAGAAAATCTTCTGCAACCTGGATATGAAGGGGAGGGGGGGGAAGATAAAAGAGGAAAATCTCTGCTTTATCAATCGCAAAAATGCAATTTAATTCTCACAAGAATAAGCCGTCAACAGGTCATAGCAAAGAAGTAATTAGGAAAATATTTACTGCCTCTGCATCTGAAAAAGAAAAAAATAGTACCAACACCGAGCAAATACCACGTTACCCTGCAGAGCTTGGGATTCCACGGAGCTCCTCTGACACCACCTGCTCACCAGGGGAATGGGACGGCTGCAGCTGGCGGAGGCCTCCCTCCGTCAGGTGTGGGTTTGCTCTCTCAGGGTTCCAGGTTCGTTTCTTCTGCTCAGGCATACAAAAACTGGAAGTGTAGTACCTCACAGCTGAACCCGACAGGCTGGTATCCCCCGGGGAATACCAGCTCTGGGATTTTAGGCCTGGAAGAAAGCTCTCATGATGGCCTATTCTAATCTTTGGTGCTCGCGGAGGCCTCTCTCCGTCAGGTGTGGGTTTGCTCTCTCAGGGTTCCAGGTTCGTTTCTTCTGCTCAGGCATACAAAAACTGGAAGTGTAGTACCTCACAGCTGAACCCGACAGGCTGGTATCCCCCGGGGAATACCAGCTCTGGGATTTTAGGCCTGGAAGAAAGCTCTCATGATGGCCTATTCTAATCTTTGGTGCTCAGAATTTTCTTAACGCTTTTCAACATTGGCAGAAAACATTATCCCATTTTAAATTTGCAACAGGCAAAATTACATCATTTTTATTCCTGTAAGTAGCACGTACCAAGACTGACAAAACAGACTAAAAGCCAACAGCGTATATGACTTCCTGTTCCAAGATGTTGGCGATATCACCGTTTGCGGTATCACATTTGCACAGCGTGCTGAATATCGCAAGTATATTTATAAGATTTCACATATGGTATCAAAATAGTCCAATACACAAATATACTACACCACCTAGTAACATGCTGAATTATACCAGTTACTTCCAATATTTATTTTTCAACTGGTATAGAGTAACATTTATGTACTTAGGAGACAAAACCATCAGGAGTAAACAGAATATAATTTTTCAGTCTGGATTTGGAATGGTTACTAGAGCTACAGCTCATGAGAAATCGGAATGAAACTCAAAATGCTTCCGGTAGGCCAAGTCCCATTTCTACGTCTCATCCAAAAACCCCACTGCATCGCCTAAACAGGCGTTGCCTCTGAAGAAACACATCCCATACATCTGCCAGACTGCAAACAATTCTTCCTTCAGCAAGGTACAAAGTCATTATGTTACAACGACACCAAAAAAAGCCATTCATTCCAGTTACGCTGCAGCCTGTTGCTCAGTAAGCAGCGAGTGATGCAGTACATAATCAGCTGCAACACACGGCTGCAAAGAAATTTATTTTCATGTTTCAAGAAAACGTTGTAGCTCTGGTTTACTTTTTCGTTCGAGGATGCCTTCATTAGAAGTTTTAAATGGGAGTTTACAAAATGGTTCCCACAGTTTGCTTTAGGGATTATAGTGAGATTATTAACCATTATTTTTATCACTAAATCAGGTTTTGATAAGAAATGTCGGCAAAGCTTTTTTTACACTGCATTAGATAGCTTTATCACAGGAGATTAGGCTAGAACATTATTACCTGAAATGAGAAAGCATGTTACCATTTAGTAAAAAGAAAGTATATCACGTAGGTACAATGTTTCAATTGCATCTTATCGCTAGTTTAACAGAGCTGTAGTCCAGCAGGTTACGCCGACGTTTTACGTGAAATAAAAATTAAGGTGCAACAGAAGTTTGACGATTTTACATCATAGGTAAGCTCATTAAGATAGATAACATTAAGAAAAATTGTTCAAGTCTTATAATGCGGGAGCACGCTATACCATGTCTGAATACACAGCATTCATTTTTATATATAAGTGAGCGAAACCAAAACAGTACACATTAGTTGATTTCCTTGCACCATTTTTTAAAACATAGGCCTGAGTACCGAACAGTGATCCAGAGCACAACTCGGCAAAACCTATCCTCCCAACAGAGAGAAGGGCAGAGAAGTTTCTGCAGTACTGAAATTCTTGTGTAGATCCCAGCGGGGAGACTCAGAGGGTACGCAATAGGTATGCTCGGCCAAGGACGTCCGTATCTGACCAGCGATCCAGGCTCCGCAGCAAGGTACGTGGGGGTGAAGCAAGAGAATATTGCCAAACAGCTCTTGCTAGGTAGCCCGAGGACAGAAAAAACCCGACACCCCCACGTAAAGTAAAACCTCCAGATTCGTTGATTCTTTAGGAAGAGAAAATGAATTTTCCAGGAGTCCCTAAAAACGTTCCACGTATGACAGGGTTAGTGAAACACACCGCAAGCACAACTTCCCAGATACCAGGACGAGTTCATTATCCTTCAACACCTTACTTGTTGTCTGGGAACGCTCCTGTTTCACGGGTAAGTCTCTGACTATTTGAATAACTGCGACGCAGGAAAGAAACGTAAAGAAAACCAGGCAACAGAAATACTGACAGAGAAGATTTAATATTAGTTTTACATTTGACAAAGCCGAAACCTTAGCGCCTGGGAGTCAGCCACAAGAGGCAGGAGACGACCACCACCACCCCCTCCCGCACCCGAAGTCTCTCCGGGGCCTCCAGGAAAGCCACCCCGCCTCTATCCCCCCTCCTAACCGCCATCCCGCTGACAGGAGCGCTTCGGAGCGGCTTTACTACCCCTACATCGCAATTCCAGAAAGGCTTTTCCCTCAGAAAAACAGTCTGTCGCCCTGTATCCTAACTGGTAACACCGCGCCGCCGCGGATGCCAGGCGCCCCTGCCCCCCGCAGGGGGGGTGCCGCTCGCCCCGTACCACCG